CCCCAAAACCCCAAAACCCCAAAACCCCTTTTAGCTCTTTTCATATTGAATAATTAATGATAGTTTATATGGACATCCGTAAATGCACCGAATCGTGACTGGTTCGTTCATCGTTGAACTCAGCTAAAAGTTTAATCAAGCATTCTGCCAGAGAAGCTGCTTTGAAAAAATATTAATTGGCAATAAGTTTTCTTAATTTCATTGAGTTTGGAGAAATTTAGCATAGATATAAGCTAACTGAAGGCGGTAAATTTTACCAGAAATTCCGCTACTGATTTCAAACCTCTTTCAGCTACTCATAAAAGAAGAAGAAATGAGGCTTTCCAAAAGCAGATATTTACTAGGATATTTTTGTTAGTAAGCAGACAGAAATTCTTCCCAACCATAGAGCGGGAAGGAAGATGAACTCATACTGGAAATAAACCTATAGCTCCACTTAAAGGAGGATTCTTGCATTTTTCTAATGACTGCTCTTTGGTTTATATTTACTTCGTACTAATGATGCTAATAAACCTCCATTCTTCAAGATTTACCAAAGAATAGGTATCGATATTTCATCATACTTTTTATGCTCATTAATATAAACCCTTAGTGATAGGTGTAAAACGCTAAAATTTTGGATAGCTGAGATATACGAAGTAACCTTTAATAACACTAGTAGCCGTTGAGAGTGCTCATAGTAATTTTTATGCCCGGTTTTCGCTCCCTCTACTTCTCAGTAACAAAACAGAAGGATATCTGTATTCGACAAACATGACTGTACTCTTGTTTTCTTTAATTGGAAACATTTATAAATGCTAGGAAAAATCCTTCTTTATATTCAACGTTGGAAAGGAGATGCGCCTCAGAGATCATATAACCAATTAGCTATGAGGGTATACCTGAGACTACTTCAGAGTTCCACACTGGAAGGACTCTAGTTTTGATCTCAAGCACTACAAAGTTTCCTATTATTATTATTGATATGAAGAGTTTCATAGACTTTTTCAAATTTTAATAATGTTCATAAAGAGTTATACTTGAAGTAGTAAATTTGTAGAGAAAATTTATGATAAACCTAACGATTTCATCTCTATTCCTTAAATAGCTCATCTATTAAGCTAAAGCTGGGGTTGCCCAAAGCCACAACAGTGGTCTAAAAGTTGAGCTATTAAGATATCTGCCGGTGTATGAATATTTCAAAATTAAGAAAGATTTTCTGCGTCAAAAGTTTAGTATACTTCAGATGGATAATTTCTCCGTGCTATTATCTAAAATTATCTTGGTTTAACATAAGTAAATGGGTATTTTCCAAAACAATTTGTTACGCTCTTTATATAAAGTCTCATATCCCTCTCGTATGCATATCAGAGCTATGAGATATTCTCAAAGCCCATAGGGCGTGTTATACTAAGCCAAGGTTTAATAAAATATGAAAGAACTTATTCAAAATAATTATAAAGAAATTTGAATTGTCATTAACTGAACTTTTAATAACAAAAGTTCTCTTAGGTTAGCAACATTTGGAGGATATCGCTTGATGGAATTTTTCGCAACAATTTCATCTGCTTCTTGTCCAAATATCTCCGAGAAGGGCTAAAGGTGTAGGTTTTGGCTTTAGTCTTCTTATGGCGGGAAGTTCATATTTCTAAAGCAGTTGAACCTAGCAAGAAAGAACCTTGATGAACACCTCCATCAAGAGGGCCATCAAGCTTATTGTTACTAGGAGTTTTTACTTCCCTGTATAAGTCCTTATTATGTGGCTTGCCCTTGTTGTCCCTCAGAGTGTTCTCAAACTGATGTGTTACCTTGGGCATCTGTGGCGAACACTCGTCACTTCCTTCTCATGACACCAAGTCATCACTCCAGATGTCTTTAAGAGAATGAGGTAAGCACATTTGGGAATCTGAATTCATTAAGTTAATTATTATGAAGACTCTTCAATCATTTTTTATCAAGTTGGGGTTTTGGGGTTTTGGGGTTTTGGGG